GCTTCCCTTCTCAGGTCAATAAATTCTGTTTATAGTGTTAGTAAAGGAGAAAGCCCTTGCTTGAAATCAAAAGTAGTGTGTCAACTGAACTCCCCTTCCTGCTAGGCCTCTTTTTTTGGCGAAAGGTTTATGATTTTACAATATATTAGAGCAGAGTGAATGAGGGAGATGCGCCCAACACCCCTTTTGAATGCAGTCTGTGTTTTCATTTGAGGCTCCTGGGAGTCTAGCTGGCCCCTTTAGGGAATGTAATGATTCACTCCTCTTATCTAGGATGCTTCCTTCTGCATACATATGTAAAGTCCTTGAGGATTTCCAGATGAAGACCTGCGTTCCTTGTCAAATAATGCGAATGAATGTACCTGAACTCCAAATGGAGGTCCACCAATGGATTTGTGCCAACGCATATGATACCAATGTACCTGTAACCAATGATGTCTCTTATGGATTGTAAATCATGTGTGTCATTTGGAGTATATAATCTTCTGCACATCATGTTTGGGCCAGAATGCAGATGGCTTTGGTGGGCAATTCATTGCGTAGCATTGTTTTCATGTTTATTGCAATAAATAACTTAGAAATCCTACTCTCTGGACTTCACTGGTGTGTCTATTCATCAGGCCAGGGACACACAGGCCATGACTTGTGGAACACCCATTGCTGCAAGAAACCCAACTCCGCCGACCAAAGGAACTGCTCAGCTGCAGTCCTGCTCGGCACTGATGGAAAAGCTACAGGCCCACCACAAAATTCTGCCTTTAATTGGGTGGCAAGAGCCTTGAAGAGAACATGTGCACCTAATATGACTAATCAGGAGAAACCAGCAGTTATTCCAATTCTGCCACCACCACCACGCAGTCCTTTCAGTCGCAGGCTTCTGCTGTTTCCCTGGGGCTGTTGTGGCTGCAGATATCATGCTACCAAAACCGGGTTGAGAAATTCATTTAGATTTCAGGTGGAGCCCCAGCAGGGTATAATGCCATGCCCACCATCCATAGCAGCCATTTCCTCCAGGTGAACTTTTACCTCTAGAGCCAGTTTGGTGTAGTGGTTAAGCGCCCAGACTCTAATCTGTGAGAACTGAGTTTGATTCCCCACTCCTCCACTTGCAGCTGCTGGCATGACCTTGGGCTAACCATAGTTCTGTCAGTGCTGTTCTTGAAAAAGAGCAGTTTCTGTCAGAGCCCTCTCAGCCCCACCCACCTCACAGGGTGTGTGTGGTGGGGAGGGGAAGGGAAAGGGGTTTGTAAATTGCTCTGAGACTCCGAGTGAAGGGCGGGGTATAAATCCAATCTCTTCTTCTGTTGTTTGGGGATCCCTTATACTTCTGGGAAATCTCCAGGCTCCATCTGGAGGTTGGCATCTGTTGAGTATAGATGGAGCACAGTGGTTTATATTCAGAGGGTTTCCCTGACTACAGCCATTGCTCCCCCCCCCTTTTTGTCATTTGTTTAAACTGGCAACTGAACAGTGGGATTACTTGTGTATCAGATCGTCTGAATCCCAAACTTTAATTATTATTTTTTAAAAGGCTCTGGTTCCTTCCCTTGTGGAGCTCCGGATAGTACATGAACTCGTGACTCACATTTTCCTGCTTTCTTTCCCTCTGTAGGCCTGAATACCCCTCCTGCAATGCTAACACCCCACCCTCCAGGAATGGCAGGGAGCACTCTGGCCAGCAACTAGGGTTAGCAATAAAGATAGTAGCTCAGTCACAAGCAGACCTACAAATAAAGCACAAAGCATGTGACTGTAGCATTTGTTTATAGGCCAGCAACTAGGGTTGCCAAGTCAGGAGCTCGGGGAAAGAGAGAATTTGATGCCAGAGAGGCCCCCTGTAAAGTTTGGAGTTTACATCAGCAGGTCAAGGGCATAACTCTTGTTTTGCTTGAAATGCAGCAAACAGGGTTGCCAGGTCCCCCCTGGCCACCAGCAGGCGATGGGGGGCAGGGTTGCCAGATCCAGGTTGGGAAACTCTTGGAGATTTCAGAGTGGAGCCTGGGACCTCAGTGGGGCACAATGCCATGCGGTCCACCCTCCAAAGCATCCATTTCCTCCAGGAGAGCTGATCTCTGTAGTCAGGAGATGAGCAGTAATTCTGGGGGATCCCCAGGTCTGTCCTGGAGAATGGCATCCCTAGGCAGCAAACAAAGCCTCAGGCATTCCTTTTGGAATTGCAACTCCATGAACCCCACCTTCCCTTCTCAACAAAAAGTATCTGCCATGTCATCAGTAGGTGGCAACTGTAAGGAATCTATATTACGTCATCCCACTTTTAAGCAGCCATTTCCAGGGAAACTAATCTCTGCAGTTGTAATTTTGGGAGAAGAATGAGGCAAGAGAGGTGGAAAGATGTTGGAACAGCTGTATTTGGAAATTGCCATGCCCATTAAAAACAACAACAACACACACATCAGAGAATACATACGATAGCTGAACTCCAGGCATATCTTTTTGTGGGGGGAGGGGGTATAAAAAGTTTAAAAGGGTAGAATTCCCACTACAAAGAAATTTGAAGGCAGGAAAGACCCATCAGGAACAGCACTTGAGCCTCACATAGCATTCTGCCTCCCCCCCAGTTTTCGAGAGGCAAATCTGATTGTGTTATAAAGCCCTGCAGCAAGATGAGAGACCAGGAATCCAATTTCCATTGGGGAGTTAGTGAAGGGATGATGTACCCTCGCAGCCCCTCTTGCCCCCGCAGATGCAACATTCTGTGTACTGCCAATGGGAACCAGAAGTGCTGCTGAAACCCATTAAGACTGTCAACCCTAGTTGGGCTTTCCTGCAGCTACAGAGAAATGGCTAAAATGTCACCTCTTTCCACCCATCATGGTGACCACTCCCTTCAAGAGCAACATATTAATGAGGTTTTTTCGTAAAGTGAGAAATAGGGACAGAGTGCCTCCCCAGAGAATGAGGCTGAAGGGAAAGCAAAGAGTCTTTGCTTTGTCTCAGTAGAAAAAAATTCCACACAGCCTTTTTCATAGTCCAGGGACACCCGGATCTTTTCCGGAATGCTGGCAGATAAAGTGACTGACTGAGAGGAAGTCAAAGCAAACATCTGCGAGTACCCACGACTGTATTTTGTTTGCACAATCCAGAATCCTTCATCAGGGTTAAGGGTGATGTTTCCCTTCCTCTTCACAGACTCTCTAGCGACACCCACAGCCCACCCTGCCCATCCATTCCTCACTTCCACCTCCCAACAGTGTCTTCCTGAGGTGAATTTCTCACGGCCCAGCACACTCCGTAGGGTATCAAATTGCTCAGGGTTGTCAGGAAAGTTTCCTCTGTTGCTTCCCCATGTCACACTCTTCATATTTGAAGACACGAGGAGTTCGGGATGTGCTGTCTTCAGATCCAAAGTCACATTCACTGCAGAAAAGAGGGGCGAAGGAACAGCTTAATTGAGGAGGCTATCAGTGAAAGAGCTGATGTTATGTATTGAAAGGTGACTCAGAAAACCCATTCTCGGCAGGCCCAGGAAAGAGAAGAAGCATCACTCCCACAGGAAGAGAACTGCACTGTCTGATGAACGCACTTGAGGCCCGTTTTGCAGCCCAGCTGCTGAGAGAGAGAACAGCTCGCTTAATACACCAGTGGCTGAAGTGCAAATCTCAGCTTGCCTCACACTATCAGGGTCTCAAAGCACCGGTAAGACTGGAAGATTCCCGATCCTTGAGCTGAGGTGGGAGAGAAAAACAGTCTCCCCAAAGCCACAACTCCTGTGTGAATGGATCGATCCACTGCACAGCAACCAGCTTCACTATTTTTTTTTGCCATCAAGTCCCAGAAGACTTATGGTCACCTCGTGGAGTTCTGAAGGCAAGAAATGTTAATAGGGGCCATTGCCTGCCTCTGCGTTGCAACCCTGGACTTCCTTGGTGGTCTCCCATCCAAATCCTAACCAGGCCGGCCCTGCTGAGCCTCTCAGACCTGATCAGATCAGGCTAGCCTGGCCCATCCAGGTGAGGCCAACTTACCTTTACAGACAGGACGTAATTATAGAGCTAGATGGGGAGATCTGTTCATGCATTTGCTTTGGCCCTGAGTCACTCCGCCAGCTCTCTTCCATCTGCCATCCCCCCATTCTTACAAATCATCCTAAACTGTCCCAAAAGGCGGAATTTTATTGTAATTTTCCACATGTATTACATACACAAAGAGTAGACATACAAACATTAATGGGGAATAATTGCTTTTCTTAACAAACATTATGCTTATGCCTAAGTAACATTATTCTCTAATCTTGTGTACTGTGGGTAGCAACCATATATATCTCTAGCCTCAATGGGTATATATACTTTCTATTAATAAATCAATGATCTGTCAACTATGTTCTTGCTTACATATTATTATCATACCATTTATAAAACCAGGTATTTTGGAATGCAGAGTCTGTTAAACCTTTCATCAATAAAGTCAGTTTATCCAGTTCCGCTGCCTCTAAGACTTTGTTTATATATTCTCGCTTCCTTGGTGTCTCCGTTAATTTCCAGTACTTTGCATAAAGAATTCTGGCAGCCGTAGTTAAATATACAATCAAGTAACGATCATCTTTGTTGGAGTTTTCAGGTAAAATATTCAACAATAAAACCTCTGGTGTAAATAATACTACCGTACCTAACACTTTTTTGCAAAACTTCATGAACTTCATGAACCATTGCCCAATATTTCTTACTTTTTTCACAATGCCACCACATATGATAAAACGAGCTGACCTTATTTTCGCATTTCCAACACTTATTGGAACATATAGAGTCAAATTTAGCCAACCTTTCGGGTGTTACATACCATCTGTAAAACATTTTATAAACATTTTCTTTGTATGGAATAGCTTTAGTAATTTTAATGTTTTTCTTCCATATTTGATCCCACTGCTCTAAATTAATATTATGCCCAATGAATCATATTCCCTTTAACTCTCTTCAGACATCAACTAATTAAGTAAAAGTACATAAATTCTTTGAATAAGCTTTAAATCCGTAGATATAATGATCTTTTCAATCTCTAACAGGTTCTTATAAAATCCAATTTTCTTGTCTTTAGTATATCTGGATTCTATTTGTGCTCTTTGCCACCACTGTAAATCCTCTAATGGTTTCAGCCGCTCATCAGAGTCCAATATGTCCAGATATCTTCTCTGCTTTTCTTCCTGATAAACATTTGGAAGTGTAATAGCTTCTAAAGGGACTATCAGTTTTGAGTTCTTTGTATAAAATTGCTTGTGTATAGTTTCCCAGACTTTAAATAGAGACACCCGTATCCAATGTTGCTTGAAATATTTATGGGTACTCGCCTTTTCAGACCATAAAAAGGCATGCCAACCTAGCAAAAGATTGTGGCCTTCCAATGTTAATATTCGCTTGTCTTCCAATGAGACCCAGTTTTTAATCCACGTCATTGCAGCTGCTCTGTAGTAAAGGTTCCAATTTGGTAGGCCAAAGCCCCCCCTCTCTATTAAATCTTGTAAAGCTTTCAGTTTTATTCTAGGTCTCGTACCTTGCCAGATAAATTTTGAAATCGCCTGTTCTAATTCTTTGACGATTTTTTGATTTTGCAAAATAGGAGTTGTTTGGAATAAAAATAGCCATTTCGGAAGTATATTCATTTTAATTGTTGCAATACGTCCCATTAAAGATATCTGTATATCTTTCCATTTTTCCAAATCCTGTTTTGTCATCTTCAACAATTCTTTATAATTATTCTCTTGTAATGAACTGCATTTATTTGTCATAATAATCCCTAAATATTTTATTTTCTTCTGTGGTTGAAAATTTGAAATTTCCTGTAATTGAGTCACCCATTCCTCTTCCATATTTTTAGTCAGTATCTTAGTTTTGTTAATATTTACTCTCAAACCAGCTACTAGTCCATAGTCCATAAGATCTTGTTTCAAGATATGAATCAAGTCCATAGAGTTCTCCAGTATGAATACTAAGTCATCGGCAAATGCCAAAAGTTTATATTCTTCTCCTTTTAGTTTTAGGCCCTTAATCTGTTCTTGTCCTCTTATTGAATCATTAAGTATCTCTAAAGCAAAAATGAACAACAGAGGAGAAAGTGGACACCCTGGTCTTGTTCCTTTTTGTATTTCTTTTCTTTTCTTTTTTTTTAAGCCCCCGGAGGGGATTTTTTAAATTATTTTTTATAAACTGCACAAAACTACAACAGAAAAATTTTGGAGGGGGGAGTACATTTAAGGGAGAAAGTAAAGTACCCACTACTATCTAAAAACCCAAGAAAGGAGATCTTCCAAGTAGCTTAACATACATTTGGTCTTCACTTCATTTATATTCTTATAAACTGAGTCATTTGCTTAAAATGCTTTTCTAGCTTTTTCTTTAAATCTTAACTGTCTAATAACAGTACCCCCCATCATCTCATTTCATCAGTTTTCAAAGGCACAATTCAGAGTCCTTCAGCCTTACTTCTCTTTTCCCCACCTCTTCCACAGTTTGTAAGGACTTTTGGGGGCTGCTGCCCCTTGTTGTGACAAAGAGTCCTCTCCAGAAGAACCAGAGTCCAGCTCGCCACTTGACTTGCTGTCCTCTTCTTTTCTTCCATCCTCTGGTTTTTCCAGCTGAACCCTCAGGAATTCATGAGCTTTCACAACAGAGTCTATCTTTTCTTTTTTGTCCTTAATTTTAAAGGTGACGCCTTCTGGAATTAACCATTTGTATCCAATTGAATTTGTTTGAAGAAAAAGCACCAAGTCTTTATACTTCTTTCTCCGTTGTTGTATCTCAAATGGAATATCTTTCAAAATTCTGATAACCTTTTCTCCCACTTTCATGGGTGTACCAAAAACTGCTTTCAGGATTGCATCCCTTACATACCTCTTCAAGAATATACCCACAATATCCCCAGGCAGATTATTCTTCTTTATATATCCGGAATATGACCTATAGGCCACATCCATATCGTTTAACAACTGTTCCGCCTTCATCTCCATCACTGGGGCTAGTAGTTCACTCATCACTTCTTTAAGATTCTCTCCTTTGTTCTCTGGTATGCCCTGGAAGCGAAGAAGCATATTAGCCTTTTCCATTTGTAGTTGAAGCAGCTGATCTTCCGTCGAAGTCTGTTTCTTTTCCAGCTTTTGCACTTTTTTCTTCACCTTTTGTGTAGTTGCGTCCACTTCATTAACCTTCTCAGTATTTTGTTTCATCAATTGCAAAGTCTCATTTATTCATTGAGTCATATTAGACAACTGTTGGGTCATTGCTGCCATCTGTTCCTTGCAGTTATTCAGCTGTTCCAGCAGAGGGCGCATGGTTTCGGCGATTTGCCTTGCCAACTCACTGGTCACTTCCGTTTTGGGACTCTCCGTCACTTTCAATTTCAAAAGTTTTTCTTTGTCTTTGTCCTTTCCCCCCACCATCTTTGCCGTTTGTTTACTTTTGGCAATTTTTAAAAAGTCTCTGAATATGCACTTAAACGCTTGAACACACCTTGGTGAGTACTTCTAGACAGTTTTCTACACATTTTCTTCTGCTCCCCCCTCCACCGCTTAAAAGTTCATGCGCATGGGAGGCATCCCCCCCCCGCTCGCCTTTTTTCCGTTCCACAAAATGGGGTGGGTAGCAATCTTTTTCTTTTAGAATCGCTTTGCAGCTCGACTCACATTCATAATTGGTTCGTAGACCTTGCTTAGTTTCATTTTCACACGCTCGGTTTCCTTCGCTTGTCCCAGCTAGCGTTTCTTGCGTCCATTCGGCCTCTCAGCTTGAAGAACCTTTGGAACAGAGAGGCGCCTCAATTCTCTGGCATTCCACCATCGAAGAGGCGACCTCTCAAAAGTTCCATGGCCAGGGTCCCTTCAACCGGGTCCCTGGGGAAGAGTGATCCTGCGCACCTCCCTCCTTCAGCTGGAGCGCAGCTCATCCCCGGAGCAGTCCGGGAGATGCGTCTGCCCAGCACGCCGCCATCACCGGAAGTCCTTCCTTTTTGTATTTCAATATTTTGAATCTGTTTCCCGTTGAGCATTATCACTGCCTTTTGTTTCATGTAGATTGCTTGGATCATCTTCACAAAGTTCGCACCTGCTTGTGCCTCTTTTAACGCTTCCAACATAAAATTCCAGTTAACGTTGTCAAAGGCTTTCTCTGCATCTAAAAATATCAATGCCAACAGCTTTTCCGGGTGTGCCTCATAATATTCTATTACATCCAAAATACATCTTAAACTATTTTTAACTTGTCTTTTTGGTAAGAAGCCAACTTGATCTTTATGCATTATAATAATATTTTTTAAGTCTTTCAGCTAATATTAAGGCAAAAAGTTTGTAGTCCACATTTAATAGAGAAATCGGTCTATAATTTTTAATTTCTTTTTCATCTGAATCTTGCTTATGGATTAGTAATATTATTGCT